TATGAACCCCTCCTTCAAAAGTTCACTGCGGTGAACCCCGATGACCCCGGGTTCACCACGTGTCAACATATGATTGGTCCAAAATTAATTTTTAAAAAAAAAAAAAAAAAAGTAAAACGAAAATAAAAAAAAAAATTATTTTTTTATTGCTGTGAACCCCCACCTTGGGGGTTCATCAATGTGGGTGCTCTAACCCTCCTCTCTCTCTCTCTCTCTCTCAAAGAAGGAAGATTGAAGAAGAAGCCATGGCAGGAGTAGGACCGATGACTCAGGATTGGTAGCCCGTGGTGATCCGTAAGAAAACCCCTAACTTGCCCAAATCGAATCTGTCAAAAACGTGTTATAGTGAAAAGAATGGACGAAGAGAACGAAGTGGTGAAGACGTCTGAAGAGCTAGGTGTGCGTGAGGAGCTCGTGAAAGCTTCCGAAAGGTTGGTATGGAAGAATGATTCTACGAAGATTCAAGCTGAAGCCCTTCCTTATGCTCTCGAAGGTAGGGTCTTATTTTTTTTTAATTTACTTTTCAGGCTAGAAAGCTTGGAACTTTCAGAGTATTAGGAATCCTTCTTGTGTCTGAATCCTAGAATGTGTTTCATAAACATTCCCTGTATACTAGCAAGAGAAAGCTTCGATCTTGGAGGCTAAGAATTGAAAGTACTATGCTTTTGTTATTAGTCTACACTGATGACTGATGCATACAGCTACAGATTAGTGCATGCTCTATATAGTTGGTTTATTCATTGTATATTTAACCCATTGTTGTGCTTTGACATACTTGCATCTTCATGAGAGTGCGTTAGATTTCTGCTTTTTTTAGGACTAGATGAATTGCAGCTTCGTGTATTGAGACTAGTGTTAATGATTTGTATGTATTGATTGATTACCACTCAGGAAACTCCAGGCGATGGTTTAGGCAAAGAGAATAGTGTGATTCAGTTCTCAATAGGAGGAAACCCACTGGTTTACTTGTGTTCATTGCTGCCTAACAAAACAGAGTGTTCTTGTTCTGTTTAATTAGTTTACGTTTGTCTTATCTACAATGATGTATTAGTAACAAAGAATTGATCTTTAAGAATGATATTCCTGGTTGATTCAACGTTTTGTTGTTAGAATCTCAGTGGCTTGATGTTTATTTTTTGTTCTGTGTGTGATGTTGTAGTTGTAGCTGGATGGTGGAATAAACTGCGAGAGTCATGTCATTGTGGGTGAGGTCAGCTGAGCCATCCACTGCGACATATAAGAACCCAAAGCTTTACTCGCTCAATGAGAATGCTTACAACAGTGGAGTGATACTTCTGTTGAAATCTTTGATCCAGACAGGTCCAAGAACACTTGTCCGACTCATGATTCTTACCCAAACCAAAGCAATGAGAAGTACTTCTGGATTCCCCAACAGATGAGTTTGTTCAAGCAAGGAGGTCCTTTGTGGTATTGTAGGTTTGTCATTCCTCTCGACTCCACAAAGGTTAGAAAAAATAATGTTTTACCATTAAAAAATTTCAGACTCTTACAGCTTGTCTTAAACCAAAAACCAGGAAGTATCTAGTCCAAACCGAACCTTAGATAGCAATGAATTTTGCACAAATTTGAGATTGTCTAAAAGGATTTATGAAGCTGGAACAAAACCACCAGACAATCCAAGAGTATGCAATGTGAATTATGTTTTGAGATTGTAGGAATTGGGTTTACGAGTTATTAAATAAATATTTTGGATATTGGTTGGCCATGAGTATGCATCGATCTTGATGTCCAAACTGATGATTAGCGATTACTTTATGTGATTTTTAGAATGAATTTTTTTTTTACAGGATGGGACAATCAATTTGTGTACTTTCACATATAACTTGTTTTTAGTTGATTATGGGAATCATAAATGATTCATTTTGATAGTTGATCACTCCTGTTATGTTCCATTTTCATGTTTAAGTCAGCGGAGAGTTGGAGGAGTGAGCTTGTGGGTGGTTAATCATCACGGTCAAGGACCTATTCTTCGACCAATGTAGAAAGGACCTATTTTTGCAGGCATAAGCAAGTGATGTTGGAAGCTTATGATCAGCAATGTGACGAAGCAGCGAGAATATTTGCAGAGTATCATAAGAGGCTGCAAGTGTATGTTAATCAAGCGAGGAATGCCCAGAGGTCGAGTTTGGATTCTTTGAGTGATTATTCGAGTAAGGTGAGTAGTAAAAGTGAGACGGAAGCTGTTTATTCCTCTGTGAAGGCAAGTAAGTTGGTGGAAGATGTTATTCTCGTTGAGACGACGCGAGAACGGAGTATTAGGAGAACTTGTGAGTCACTTGCGTCGCTCATGGTTGAGAGGATTTGTAACTCTTTCCCTGCTTATCAAGGAAATGGGATTCATTCGCATCCTGAGGTGGAAACTGAAAAGCTGAGTTTTGAGTATGATGGAGAAATATCTGATGAGGTTAGAGGTGTTGTAATGAATTGTCTGAGTAGTCCTCTACTCCTTCAGGCTATTGCTGCACATACCTTACACCTTAAGACCGTTATATCCAAGGAGATAGAGAGGGTTGATGTCAGAGCTGATGCTGAAACATTGAGGTGCCTCTCTACTCTAAGTGTGCATTTCTGCTTCAGACGAGTTTGATTCATTTGAATACGCACCTTCCATGCTATGTTTACTGATTTATTTAAAATGCAGAGGCAGATTATCCAACTTATTATGCAAAATGATAGTTAACTTTGTCTGAGTCATTGGCAGCTCACTTTTATTCAAATGTGTCTTATCTGGTTGTTATAGGCTGTTCCTTGGCTTGCTTTTATGCTTGTTTGATCAGTGATACTTGACTCTCTTTTTCGTTTGCTGGATGGGTTTATTACTTATGTTCCAGTCTATTAATTAGTTAATGAGAGCTATTTGATGTAAACCTATTCTACAGGTATAAGTACGAAAACAACCGGGTAATGGAGCAATTATAGGACTCTAATAGATGATCATTATAACTTTATAAAGGCTTATAAAAAGTTATAAATACTCTCTGTGTTACAAAAACCTCTTATAAATATTTCATCTGTTACAAAATATCTGTCACATGTTCCAGTGCATAACCAGCATTATGAACCGGTCTAAACCCTGGGTTTGACAGCTGTAGAAGACACATTGTTCAACTATATAGGGTTTATAAAAAAAAGTTTATAAAACCATATAAATATTTATATAATTATTGTTTTTCTGCATGCTATTCTTTCAGTATACATGATTTTATTACTCTTATAAAAGTTCATTAAACATTTATAGATCTTTATAAAGATTTATGAGAACATGGGCTTAGGTTTCTTATACGATTTTATAAGGATTTATAAATGTTTTATAAATCATTTATTAGAATTAGTTAGTCTTTTTAAAAGGTTATAAACAATTTTAGAACTCTATAAACCATTTTTAGAAATTAATAAACTATATCTTATAAATTATTTTTAAGGGCTAACTAGATCGTTTATAAATTATTTATAAGACTTTGTATATCATTCTCTATATTTCTATCTTATAATTTATTTACCGAGTCCATAGCCATTTAGAAAGGCTTATAAAACATTTTATAGTGGTTTGTAAAATAATTTGTAAGAGTTTATAAGGGTATGTATAAAAACAATTTATAAAGTTTATACACATTATAAAGGATTAAAAAACAATTTACAAGGATATAAACGCTCTATTTGCCTCTGCCATTCTATGAGTCTTTGTAAAATTATTTGTAAGAGTCTATAAGCCATTTATAAAGGTTTATAAAACAATTACATAATCTATAAACCATTTATAAATGTTTATAAGAAAGTTATGAAAGTTTATAAATAATTTTTAAGGGGTATGTATACTATTAATAAGGGTTTATATAGGTGTAGAAAAAAATTATAATATTATTTATAAGAATATATAACCATTAATAAGCAGTCAGCAGATGACACTGAAGAGGTTGTGAAAGAAAGACTTCGCATATCATTCTCTCTATTTCTATCTTATAATTCATTTATTGAGTCAATAACCATTTCGAAAGGCTTATAAAATAATTTATAATGGTTTGTAAAATAATTTGTAAGGGTTTATAAGGATATGTAAATAATTTATAAGGGTTTATAAAAACAATTTATAAATTTTATACACATTATAAAGGATTATAAAACAATTTACAAGGGTATGTAAAATTATTTGTAGGAGTCTATAAACCATTTATAAAGGCTTATAAAACAAGTTATTAAATCTACATGCTAATCAGAAAACTCACATAAATTGTAAAACTGAGCATAGCTTCTCTCAGTATTAAAATATTTTAAATGATTAAAAACTCTTATACATAATTTATAAGCCTTTACAAAAATTTATAGCTAATTTATAAATCTGTATGCTCTGAAGCACCGATGCACTGCAGAAACTTCTTGAACGCTTCGAGGATCTCTTCTTCCACTAGTCCACACTTTTTGAACGTTTCGAATGTTTGAATTATCTTCTTCTCGGAGTTGGTCATGAAAGTAGGACACTTCTTGAACATCTCCCATACTTCTTGTGCACTCAACCCTAACATTTTCTACACGTTAACTTTCTCTTGAATCGTCTCCTCACTCTTATGGAAAACTATGCGTAGAGCTTGGACGAACTTTGGGGTTGTGGGATCAAAACCCATCTTAAGAACCTTCTTGAGAGACTTTTGGAATCTAAATTTGCCGTGGATGGCTCCGTTCTCGGAGATGAGTAAAGGAAATAAGAGTTTATAAAACCATTTAAATTTATAAAATATTTTATAAATTTACAAATCATTTACAAGACTTCATAAATCTTAATATAAGGTTAATAAAGAACCTATAAGAGTTTATATACCATTTATCAAGGTTTATAAGGTGTTTAAAAATGTTTATAAGGGTTTATAAAAATTTACAAAGGGTCTACAAACCATTCATATGTGTTTATAAAGATTTTATATAGAATCTATAAGGTTTTATATAGGTTTATAAGGGGTTTTATAATATTTATAAGGCTTTATAAAATGGATGTGGATGTTGATTCTGCAAAGACTAATTCGAGTTCTGAGGATTCAAAGTCTGAAAAGGAGAAGGGTAAACGCAAGCTTTATGTGGGATCTCAAGCCTTGAATTACTGCCGGGATCATATGGAGGTTATTAGCTTTTTTTTTCCTCTTTTGATTAGTATTGAAAATGTGACGTTTGTTATGAAAGCTATAAATTTCATTTTCTGACTTACAGATCTTGTCACCGATCAAAGATGGTATAGTTTCTGATTGTGTGAGCATGTGGGCTTCATATATCATTATTTCTGGACTATGAATTGGGCCTGTTTCTCCAAATGTGGATGTACCTGAAGCAAAGTATATTAACCGAAGTAAATTATGTTCCTACGTGGGTTACGTGCTCACTACGGGAAAAAGAAAATTACACAAAGACAAGGTCGGTGATATTTGGTATAAATAGAAGACATGGAAACCGTAGGTGATCATCTGAGAGATCAGAGAAAAACCCTAGACACAAGGACAAAGAGAAAGATTTAGAGAGAGATCAAGAGTAGAAGAAACTAGGGCGAGACATTGTTCGAGTCATGTCTTTGCGGGAGAGAGTTTCTTTGATCTTTCTAATTCTCTATTGTGTAGAGCGCTTAAAGTGTTTGTGTAAACCCCTTTGATTGATAGTGGATGTTGTGGGAAACGGTTCCCACCCGTGACGTACCGTTGCTAGAGGCCGGGAACTTGGTGATCAAATTCTATGTGTTATTTAGTTTAGCAATCAAACGATCGATAATTCCTAACAAGTGGTATCAGAGCAATCCAGGTTTTGATTGCGGGTGTTAGTGAGATTATGGAGTCGACACATTGAAGGGTTGGAGTTGAAAGATCAAAGGGTAGCATAGCGTTAAAAGAAGTACATGGTTGCTGAAGACTTGAAGAATGATTTCCACTGCAATCACAAGGTTATTGTGATGTTTGAAGTTTCTAGACACTCAAAGCTGATAAGGTTATGGAATCTAGATTTTGGGAGAACACAAGGAAGTAGACCGATTTAAACAATAGAAAAGTCAAGATTTTTTGCTGGGAAGTCAGGTTGTATCTTGGCTTGTTCTAGTTGTTGAAAATATATTTAGTTTGGTGTTAAAGGAGGGATTGAAAGAGCAACCGAAGTTATAGATTCATGACTAGGGGACACCTTAGGAATGAATATATGTGAAGAAAGTTGTCTCAAGATTATGTTACAAATCTTAGATTCAAAAGGAATGGTTATGGAAAAAGAGTATGGCGGTGAAACATGGAGGTCTCAGAAAGTATTCAATGAGGGTTTAAGTGTCAGGGATAAGGATCAGAGTTTCAAGTTCTAAAGAAGAACACAAAGGGTGTGTAAGGTTCTGTAAAAATAGATGCTTGGACTAAGGGTGTATCGAAAGTCCATCTAGCAAGGGTAATAACTTGATGGCGGGTTCTGTTAAGTGATAACAGCGGTACACAAATAAGTTCAAGTCAGATCTTATATAGAAGAGTCTGGTTAAACAAGAAGACCTGAATGAAAAGTTGTGTCGAAAGTCTTCCCAACAAGACTGGTTAGGAGGCATGTTCCATCATGGATGATGGTGGTACAAGATGATTCAGACTGTGGTTGTTTAACCATAAAGCAAAATGTGTTTTTTTAAACACAAAGAGGAAGCTCAAGGGAAAGAAAATCTAGCAGCAAGGTTTAACACTATTAGTAAGGTTATGTTTAACAAGAAGCATGGATCATGGTTTGTGTCGAAAGTCTATCAAGCATGTTTGGTAGCTTGATGGCGTGTGCTGTTAATTAACGGTGGTACAAAAGGAGTCCGAGGCTGTGGGGTACAGAAAAGCATTTTGAATCAGAGGATTGTTTCAAGGATTAAAACATATATGATTCGGGGAGGTTATTGCATTTGATTGAAAGGATATCAATTCTACGCTGAGAATCAAAAGGAGTCAAGTTGATTCATGGGGTAATATTGGTCATGGAGGAGGCTGTTTGATTGATTTATTTAAAGGTTATGGAAGGAGCAGTACCTTTTAGTTTTCTGGAAACATGGTATACTGATCCAGGTGGAGCAGCTGATGGAAACATTTACGTGAATGGATGGTGGTTCTTCGATGAAAGGTGGCTTGATAGACTTTAGCTACCTGAGATCCTTGTAAACAATGTAAATCCTTTGATTATCAATGAGAATTACAAGCTTGTGTATGAATTGTTCTAAGCTCTCATAACGAACTCAAAACGAATCCATCAGTCTCATAACGACTGTGGTGTACAGACTCATATCGTCAGTTACAATCAACAACAAGCATAAACTCTCCTAAGACTCCACTCTACTCTCTTATACTCTTTATTCGGCTCCACTCAAATAACGGCAAACCCTCTCTTCCAACTCGAGGCTTTGCTTCCCTCCTCTTTTATTTAAACCACTCNAACTCTCCTAAGACTCCACTCTACTCTCTTATACTCTTTATTCGGCTCCACTCAAATAACGGCAAACCCTCTCTTCCAACTCGAGGCTTTGCTTCCCTCCTCTTTTATTTAAACCACTCGATATAATTGCAGACCTTCTCTTTCAATTAGAAGCTCCGCTTCCCTCTTCTTTATTTGAATTCATTCCCTTACTCCCCACGTCATCCTCCTCAGCTATCTCCTTACCCTTCCTCTTCCGATAGTAAGCTACTTTATACCTATCAATACTTCCCCCAACAAAACCAAGCTTGCCCTCAAGCTTGTAACTTGGAAACTGTTCCACGAATTGAACATAAGACATCCAAGAATTCTCCTCTGCACTCTTGTTAACCCAAGTCACCAACAACTCTAGTCGCCCATGAGAATCATAACGTTTATCAATCACATCCGCCGGAAGCAGATCCTCCTGGCTCCCACTCAGACAAACTCGAGGAAGGTCCAACACCTGATCTTGGGGGCTTAACGCGAGCTTGAGTTGTGAGACATGAAAAACTGGATGAATGCGGGATTGAGCAGGTAACGAGAGCTTATACGCTGCCTTCCCAATCCGTTCCAAGACTCGATATGGACCATAGAACTTCGCCGCCAGCTTCTGACAAAAACGTCGAACAACCGTCTGTTGCCGATATGGACGTAGCTTCAAATAGACCATATCACCCACCGAGAAGTGCACATCCCTCCGATGCTTATCAGCCTGATCCTTCATAATCTGTTGAGCACGCTCCAATGTAGTCTTCAATGCACGTAGCATCTCGTCATGCTCCAACAACTCCTGTTCCAACTCAAAGTTGCGTGTAGATCCCGTCTCAAAGGGCAACAATGGAGGAGGGTCCCGGCCATAAACAACCTTAAACGGTGTAGTCTGTAACGAGTTATGAAATGTCGTATTATACCAGAGCTCAGACCATGACAAAAATTTTGACCAAGTACGCGGATGCTCTGAAGCGAAACAACGCAAATATGTTTCCAGGCAACGGTTTAACACTTCCGACTGACCGTCAGTTTGTGGATGAAACACGGTACTGTACTGCAGCTTTGTCTCAGCAAGTTTAAACAATTCTGTCCAAAAAGCACTCAAAAAGATGCGATCTCTATCCGACGTGATGCTTCTTGGAAAGCCATGGAGCCGTACAATATCCCTGATGAATGCCTTCGCGACGTCTGCTGCAGAAAAAGGATGATGAAGAGCAACAAAATGTGCATACTTACTTAGGCGATCAATAACAACCAATATGACATTAGCCCCTGCTGAAGATGGCAACCCCTCGATGAAATCCATATTTATATCTTCCCAAATCCGTTGCGGTATTGGTAGAGGTTGTAGAAGACCAGCCGGAGAAAGAGTTGAGTGTTTATGAGTTTGACACACGCCACAGTTTGCCACATACTCCTGCACCTGTCGATACATTTGGGACCAAAAGAATGATCGTTGAATACGTTTGACCGTTTTTAACACCCCTGAATGTCCCCCTGCTTTACTGTCTTGACACTCAGCCAAGATCAAAGGAATAAACCGCGACGTAGCTGGAATAACCAATCTGTGTTTGGACCAGAGACGACCATCAATCACCTGCAACTTCTCAGAACGTACTGTCCCTTCGCGAACCTTCTGCACCATCAGCTGAATATATTGATCACCAGCTAACTCCTTGTCCAACTCATGCCACTGTAAAGCCGAAGGAATAGTAACAGAGAGTAACATAGATGAAGCATACATCGAACGAGATAGTCCATCTGCCGTCTTGTTCTCACACCCTGGTTTATAGAATATCTCAAAATCGAACCCCAACAACCGAGTGAGCCACTTTTGATATTCTAAATTCACATCCTTCTGTTCCAGCAGATATTTTAGACTCCGATGATCCGTATGAACTTCGAACCTGCGACCAATCAAGTAATGTTTCCATTTTCTCACTGCCATGACAATCGCCATTAGCTCCCGCTCATATGCTGGCTTGAGTTGCTCCCTGTCTGTTAACGCATGACTAAAAAATGCTATCGGTTGTTTGTCCTGCATCAACACAGCGCCAACTCCTATTCCCGAAGCATCAGACTCGAGCACAAACGTCTTGGCAAAATCCGGTAAAGCTAACACTGGTGCTGATACCATTGCCTGTTTCAACTTATCAAATGCCACCTGAGTCTCCCTGGACCATTCAAACTGATCTTTCTTTAACAGAGCAGTCAAAGGACGAGCTAGCACCCCATAATTTTTGACAAACCGCCGGTAATAACCAGTGAGGCCCAAGAACCCACGAAGCTGTTTGACTGACTTTGGAGTTGGCCATTGTAGCATAGCATCTGTCTTCGAACTCTCAGTTGCTACTCCTTGCGCCGAAATGATGTGTCCCAAGTAATCAACCTGAGACACAGAAAATGTACACTTCTTATGGTTTGCAAAGAGTTTTTGTTCTCTCAACACTTGAAACACCTGACGTAGATGATCCAAATGATCAGATGGGGTCCTGCTAAAGATCAAAATATCGTCAAAGAAAACCAAGACAAAACTCCTCAAGAACTGCTTGAATACTCTATTCATCAAGGCTTGAAATGTCGCTGGAGCATTAGTCAAACCGAATGGCATGACTAAAAAATCATAGTGACCTTCCAAAGTACGGAAAGCAGTCTTCTTTATGTCTTCCTCCACCATCCTGATTTGATGATAGCCTGAACGAAGGTCAAGTTTAGTGAACACTGAAGCTCCATGTAACTCATCTAGAAGCTGATCAATCACAGGGATGGGGTATATATCTGGGATGGTGGCTCTGTTGAGGGCTCTGTAGTCAATACAAAAACGAAATGATCCATCTTTCTTCTTGACTAAGAGAACCGGA